TGGCGCATTGATTATCCTTTAAAACATGTCAATATCAGTTTAGACAAAATTATAAAAAAATCAATTTGAAAATTGATGAACAATCTGAAAATTTGAGCAGCCCACAGTGGGCCAGCAGTGAGCAAAAATTAAAAAAATGAGCAAAACCAACCTTTAACAATTCAAAAAATTTTAATCTTTTTTAAAAGTGAGTAACCTGAAGAAAATTTAAATGGTTGTAATATTATGTTTTAGTAAATATAATTATTGTTAAATTGATTTTATAATGTTAATATTGTTAAATTGATTTTATATGTAGTTATTAATTTTGATCACTTTTCATGTTTCTGGCCCACTGTGCAGCCGTGGCGCAGTGGTTAGAGTTCTGGCTCAGAACCCAGAGGCCCGAGGTTCGGTGCCAGCTCCAGCCCAACAAGCGACATTGGGTACGGAAGGAGGCGTGAACTTCTTGTTAAATGCTCTCCCGCGGTGCTCTGTGATAAGATCGCAAGGACTTCTGGGAGCACCTAAAATAACTACAAAAAAAAAAAGTGTAGAAAATCTTTTTACAAAACAAAAGTAGATCAAATTTTTAGACAATCTAATTTTTATTTTATTTATTTATTTATTTATTTCTTCTTCAGGTATGCCATATAAAATATACATTTATTATCGTGATAAAAAGCAAATATATATACAAAATTATTACGTATCAGATTGATAAAAAATACGTTAATATAATATTTATACATTAATATAGTATTGATGCAAACTTTAATATAAATTTTGGTATAATAACTATTATATATATATATATATATATATATATATATATATATATATATATATATATATATATATATATACACATATTTTTTTGTACTTTAATACCTAAAAAAGGAAATCAAAGAAGATTCAGCATTTTCGGGTGTAAAACTCCAAAAAAAAATCTTTTCGCAGGTTCCCTTAATAGCGCCATTTGGCGTATATCAATGTCTATATAAAAAGTTAAGTAAACTTAGAAATAAATTTTTTTGTAATTAGTTTTGTAATTACTATTTCTACTGTTATATATATATATATATATATATATATATATATATATATATATATATATATATATATATATACACACATATACATATATACATACACACATACATACATTCACATCCACACACACATACATACAATATATATATATATATATATATATATATATATATATATATATATATACATACACACACACACACATATATACATATATAAATACATATATATATACATATATACATATACATATATAATTAAATATATATATATATATATATATATATATATATATATATATATATATATATATATATATATATATATATATATATATGTATATATATATGTATATATATATATATATATATATATATATATATATATATATATATATATATATATATATACATACATATATATACATACACACATACACATATACACATGTACACACATACATACACATACGCATACATACACACATACACATACATATATATATATTTTTTATTATTTATTTTTTTTTTTTATTTATTATAATTTTTTTTTTAATTTATTATAAGGTCTATAAATACTCCCAGTACATGATCTCCTTTATCAAAAAATTGAAATGTTTTATTAGTAAGTTCAATAATAGCATGTTCTGTTGAGCAACTTTTTTGAAAACCAAATTGATTTTCATATAAAAGCTTGTTTAACTTCAAGTAATTATAAATTCGATTGTAGATTACTTTTTCATAAACTTTAGAGAACACTGGTAGGAAAGAAATTGGACGGTAGTTAAACATATTATTACAATCTCCATTTTTATAAACGGGATTGACTTTAGCAATTTTTAGCATATCAGGAAAAGTACTGTGTTCAAAAGAAGACGATATTAGATGAAATAAGGGTTTTCTAATACATTCAATGACGTGTATTGCTACATTACTAGTAATGTCATCATATCCGCATGACTTATTTCGCTTTAGTTCAGTCAGAGCTTTGTTAAATTCTTTATAAGATATTTTTTCATTTGATATACACAATAGGTTTTTTTTTCCAATAAATTCATCAAACTTCTTATTTGACATCACTATTTTTGAAGCTAGACTGGGACCAAGATTTACAAAGTGTTTGTTAAGTTCATGGTAAATATCAGATTTATTTGTAATGTATTTATTATAACAAAATATTTTTTGAGGTATAACAAAGGATTTCTTTTTTTCTCTGCCAGTTACTTTATTTATAATCGACCATGTTTTTTTTATGTCTAATTTATTTTTATTTAGCAGATTAGAATAATACATTGTTTTTGCTTGTCTAATATTTTTTTGAAAAAATTGTTTATAGGCTTTGTACGTTTTTTCATCACCTTCATCCTTTGACTTGTCATCCATGGATTTTTTAACTCTTTATTTTTTACTTCAGATGTTGTTATGGGACAGACAATATCAAAAATACATTTAAAAGTAGCCCTAAAGTTGCTAAATGCCTGATTTTGATCCTTAGCTGAGTATACATTTTTTCAGTACTCCTCAAATAGTTTATCTTTTAAATTATCGAGATTTTTTTTAGTAAGGTTTCTTTTAGTGACAAGACATTTTTTATTATCACTATTGGATAGAATACCACGTGCAATGTGAAAAATGGGGAAATGATCAGAAAAATCAGCAATTAAAATATCAGATTCAAAATCAGAATTATAAGAGTTGTTTGTTAAAATATTGTCAATGGAAGAAGAAGTTTTTTGCGTAATTCTTGTTGGTTTAAAGATAGTAGGAATTATATTAAATTCAAGTAATGAATCAAAAAAAGATTTAATTTTGGAAAACTTTTCGTAATGTAAAGCATCTATATTTAGATCACCTCCAAAAATATATACTTATCATGTTTACACATTCGTGATGTTATGTTTTTCAAGCTATTTATAAAATTATTTTGATTTCCACAAGGTGGTCGATATAATGAGGAAATAAGTAACGATTTGTTAGTTTTGTTCAAAAATTCTATGCATAAGGTTTCTATATGTTTATTTGTTTTGCTGTATGCTTTTTTTTTTTTAATTCAAATTTTTTACGAATATAGATAGCAACTCCGCCTCCGATGCCGCTCACTCGTGGTTGGCTTATCAATTTATAAAGTGATAAATTATAAAGAGAATTTTCTAACAAAGGCATATTCGCTTCCTCCCAAGTTTCCGAAATACAAATTACATCAAACAGATAATTTAAAGAGTGATAGAAATTTTTTTAAAGATTCAAAATGTTTACTCATAGCGCATGTTTACACTTAAAATGCTCGTTTACTATTTTTCTTTGAAACAACTTTATCCCAATTATTGTTTCTTTTATTATCGCCATATTAATATCTACTTTGTTTACTTTGGTTTCAATATCATTTCCAACAAAAGTAAGTCCTCGTTTTATTTCTTCAACATCCTAATGTAGTTAATCAATTAGTTTAGACGTCATCATACTGTAAAACATGTCCATATCAGTTTAGACAAAATTATAAAAAAATCAAAAATTTCACTTCTTAAAGTAAATAATTATTTAATTACAAGCATATGATAAATTGGTTCTATGAAAAAATTCCCCGGGAAAAAAGCCCCCCGGAAAAAATCCCCCCGAAATAATCCCCCGAGAAAAAATCCTCCCGAGAAAAAATCCCCCCGGATAAAATCCCCCCGAGAAAAAATCCCCCCCGAAAATATCCCTCTTAAAAAAAAAAAAAATTTTATTCAAAAATTATCAATATGTAGTTATGTTTATTTCTCTATTTATTTTAAATATTTATATCAAATACTTCATTTTTCACCAAAATGTCAAGTTATGCGCTATTCCTCTAAGGTAGCGAATGTGAAACCCTAACCCTAACCCTGACAAACTGCGAACTGGTAAAAAGTGACCTTTTTTGCGAACCATCGTAATTAATTTAGCAGTATATTTGAAGGACTTTTAAGCAAAAAATTATTTAATGAAAAATAAAAATAAATTAAGTGAAACTAGACGAATACAATATGAAAAAATATATATATTTTTTAATTATTTGATAAACTGCCTGCCTAAACCAAACCCTTAGTCGATGTAGCAGCACTCTGTTGCGAGTCAGGCTATTTGTCAGTCGATGTAGCAGCATCCGTTGCGAGTCAGGCTATAAGATAGTCGATATAGCAACACTCCGCGCAGTTAAAAAATAAAAGTTTTATTCTAAATAAAGCTTTAAAATAGATAATTAAGAACTGGAGAGTTTTTTTTATTTATTATTTTTATCATAAAAATAATGGTCTTTAAAATATGTTTTGTTTTGCAAAAAAATTCGCATTTCACCTTATTGCAGCTCGAAAAATTAGAAGTGATGATATCGTTAAACGTAAAGAATTAAAATAAAGAAAGAGGATCTTTAAAAAAGACCATCAGGTCTTCTCATAGGAACCGCTGTTAAAGAAATTGGAACTTTTTAAAAAAATTTCTTTTGTTATGAATTTTACGGCTTGCGTCAATCAAACTACTGAGTCTTCCGAATCGCTTACTCATGTGAACTATAACCTCAATAATTTTCTACATAAATATCACGTCTCGCGCCCACTGAGTCTTATTTGTCGACTATAATAAGAATATGTTTGTACTGGTGTACTTCCAAATACACCTCCAGATTGTCCAAAAGGTTGTGCAAAAGAAACTAAAGAGCAATACGATAGTATCACTGTTGGTGAATCTAAATTAATGAATGTTGGTGAGTTTACGCTTACAAGTTGTAGAGATAAAATATTTGTGGCGTTCTTTGCACATTGCTTATATGCTCTCTGGAAATTGTCTTTAGTCTTAAGGGTTATTTTCTTTTCAGATCCTTGAGGCTGTTGTTTCTAAGTCACCAATCACCGCATTTGCTATTACTAAAATAATCGGGTTTACACAAACTCGGACTTAACCGGAGTTATAATGTACCATTTATAATGAACTATTGCTTGTGTTTACGTTGAAATTTCTGCACACATCAACGTGACAAAGCAAGTTTGTAAAAACATATACTAAAAACATTTATTTCCTATGCGAAACTCATTTTTCATTTAAAAGGAATTTTCATTTTAAGAAAGCGCGGATTGAATGAATGAAATGCAAGGTACGTATGACGCTAAATTTGAAACTCACAATAAAAATTATTGTTCAATAAAGATTATTATGAGCTGCTAAATCCGTATGTGTATGTGTAGGGGCAGTGTAAAGTAAAGATTTTTTTTAAAACAATTTATGACTAAGTGTCCTATGCGTTTTTATAGAAATTAGTGTTTAAAAAAACACTGGAGGTTACTTGTCGTTAATAATAAATCTAGAGCGATTTATCATAAGTCATAAAGTATGCACTCGATTTGAATATATTTTATTTATATAATATATAAATTATATAATATAATTACTTGCAAATGTATAATACCATTAAAAATTAGCCTAATAAACAAACGTATCAACTGCTTTGTTATATAAAATAAGACTTTTGTGTTTTTTTTTTTTAAATTATTAAATAACATAAGTCTTATGCTGTTAAATAATAAAGCATAAGAGTAAAATAAAATTGTAATTATTTCAAGAAATTTCAATATTAATTTATCAATGTAATATATATATATATATATATATATGTAATATATATATATATATATATATATATATATATATATATATATATATATGTATATACAAGAAATTTTAATATTAATTTATCAATGTAGTATATATATATATATATATATATATATATATATATATATATATATATATATATATATATATATATATATATATATATATATATATATATATATGTATGTATGTATATACAAGAAATTTCAATATTAATTTATCAATGTAGTATATATATATATATATATATATATATATATATTTATATATATATATATATATATTATATATATATATATATATATATATATATATATTATATATATTATATATATATATATATATATATATATTTATGTATATATATGTATATATATATGTATGTGCGTATATATATGTATATATATTTAAAATTTAGAAAAAATACAATTCAATAACTGAGCAGGACAACTATACAGATATTATTTGCAAAAAAGTGGCTAATAACACGATGTAACAAAGGTAAGACTTTTGTTACATTATGTTATTAGCCACTTTTTTGCAAATAATATCTGTATAGTTGTCCTGCTCAGTTCATGAATTGTATTTTTTCTAAATTTTAGTTGTTTTTTGCAAGGGCAAGTCTTCTCGTAATGCTAGACAACTGTAACATTACACCACTGAGAAACAGTTTTGTAAGACTCTGACGGAAATGTTGTCCAGACCACAAGTTGTAGAAGAGTTAAAGTGAAAAATAATTTTAACAATGAAGATCCTTCCTTCATTTTTAAAAATATTTTTTCCTTTAATGGATGTGTAACAGTGGAATAATCACTTTCTTTGAGATAAAATAAAGAGTGTGGCCATTAGACATTAGATACAATAGATGAATCAGGGGGAAAATTTTGTGTACCCAACCCTTGGGAGAGGTTGTAAGATCAGACATATATATGAGAAATGTTAGACTTGTCTTAGCTGATGACATTTTAAAATATTTTCCACGTTTCAACTTTTTATATACAATGGGAGATTTAATAATCTGAGATCAATGGACTTTTTTTGTCTTTTTTGCAATAATTTCTTGATAAAAATATGTTTGTTCTTCAAAGAGTTAAAGAAAAGATAAAAGAATTGATTATTATAAGGTATTTTATTTATCTTTTAAGTTAATAAAGAACTTAACTCAATCATAGATAGTGCATGAAACCCTATGTTTTGTTGGTGTTCTTTCAAAAGCAGAAAACTGCAAAATTAAAAACAGGTTTTAGTGTTTATGTAAATAAGACGTTTACCAAAAAAATAAAATAAAAAACAAAAGATAGTTGGTTTTAGTTACTAAAATCAAAAATGGCAAGTGTAAACATAATAAGAATTTCTACAAAAATAACAGGACACAAGAAAAATTGTTTAAATATCATTTCAAAGTGGGAAATGTTCTTAAAACAAATATATATTTTATAATTAAAAGAAATAAAAGTTGACTGAGCACCAAATAATTATGAAAAAAAAAGGGCACAAATGAATAAAATAAATCAACTAGCTTGTTGAATATTTTGACACTGATACCTTATAAATCGTTTAAGAGATTGTTAAAAATAAAGACATTAAATATTAGTAGTTATCAGTAAGTATTAGATGTTATCAGTAATCACTAGTAAACTATTTTACCAGTAATCACTAGTAAATTATTTTACCAGTAATCACTAATAAAACAGTTTTAGAGTTAAAAACCTAAATGCTGACACTTGCATAAACTTAAACTTGTATAAAATGTAAATTTTTATTTAAATGATATATCCTATTTTACTTAGTCATACTCAACATTTGTAGGGTATTAAAAATGATGTACCATTGGTTATACTTGATGTGACATATAGCAAATATTCACACATCATACTAAATGATCATATATTGTTGCTTTTTGTCTTATCATATTTCTTCACAATTATTTTGTTATAACTATGATTTTCTATCATATTTTGTGAATATCACAGAGAATCACCCCACCATGTGCGTGCACACTATAGCACACTTTGCTTTTGTATTGTAGTCTTTTCCTTATCGATTTGTTATTAAACATTTACTTTTTAAATAATTTATTTTTAAGGAAATAAAAATTATCTCTGGAGTGAATTTAATGTAACATTTTTTTTGTATGTGTATTATTTATGAGCAAAATTTTTAAGATAAAACAACTTATAAAAACTACATTGACTCAAAAAATCTGTTTAAAACTTTACTTCATTTTATTTAGGGCAAAGTTCGCATATTTACAATAATTTTAAAAATATATCAAAAACAAGTTAAATCAAATATCGTGGCTTAGACAAAATACAGATAAATATAGATATTTGAATGGTGGATTGAATATTTATCAGTATAATAATAACTTATATATTGTAGCAGATCTAATTTCATTATAAAAATGTTTTATTGAGTTTTTTACTATAAAGCATATTTAAAAAATTAATAAGTCAAACATCCATCAAACAATTTTTTTTTCAACTACTTTCATTAAACATAAACTTATATATATATATAAAAAAAAAGTTTTAAAAACATGAAAAATTAAATAAATTTTTTTTTACCCAAACAATTATTGTATTCTAAATTTTTTTTTTCACGCTTTTTAAGATAGCTTTGTGAAAATTTTTTTGAAAAACTTTTTTTAAATATTTCTCAAAAATGATTTTGTAATTTTTATTGTTTTTATTCAATTTGTAAAATTTCAGTAAAATTCATTTGAAAGTCATTTCAAGTCATTTTTTTTTTAAATGTAAACCTATAGTATTAAAGAGTACTAGCTATCCAGACCCATAAAATACAGGTAATGGTAAGTGTTTTACACTGACCATTTCTTTACTTATTCTTTATATGGTCTTGTTTGCATGCTTATAGCTTATTAGAAACCTCTATTTCAAAAAAAAGTTTGAATGTAACATTTACTTAACTTAGTTGTAAAATACCTGAAAAGTAAAACTGAAAACCATAAAATAAATATTTACATATTTTTAAACTTACATTAGTTAGATGGAACCACATTTTCTAATAAAAAAAGTTTTAAACAACTTTTCTTGACATTAACTTTGATGGCTTCTGCAAGTTTTGTATTAAGCACACACAAAATGAATATCAACAGCATTAAATTCAATTTTAATATATAATAGATTTTTAAAATAAATTCTGGCAAGATAAAGTATAATTTAATTATAATTAACAATATAAATAAATTATATTAAATAATATACTTTTTTAAATTCAATTTTTTCAGATTTTTAAAGTAAGAATAACGCCATGGATAAACCATTGAAGTACCAACATAGTAATATTTATAACAATCTACTTCCATATTCAAAAGATTTAGAGAAAGAAGCATTACAAAATTTCTCTGAAATAAAATACAACTTGGGCAGAGCTGTTTTGTTTGTTGAATTTTCTCCTGGAGTACTTGTCTGGTGTAATAGGCTTGAATCGTAAGTGTTAATTACTATTATTTAAATGTTATCTTGTTAGGTATTTAAATGTTATCTTGTTAGGTAAAACAGTTATGAGTTCAATAAAAATAAATTATAAAAATAATAATTTTGAGGCCCTAGATTTATTTTAAAACAAAAAAAACTTGAATGAGATAGTTATTTAAAAAAATCAGGCAGTTTAAGTCAAAGTGAGTAGAGTTTAAAGAATTTTAGGGCTTAAAATATTTTTAGAAAGTATAGTTGTTGAAATTAAATGTGATGTCAAGGTTACACTTTTCATGTTGTTCATGTGATGGTATCTTACACTTTTCATGTTGTTCATGTGATGGTATCTTACACTTTTAATGTTGTTGTTTTGATATGATTGTTGCTTTTAAATATATCAACTTTATATTTAATTCAGGGACCACTTTTATTTTTAAAAATTGCTAAATTATCATTGCTGTAAAATTTAAAATCATTTTTTATTATAAAACTGTGTAATTTAAAACAAAAGAAGTATTATCTCAAGCTTGTATATCTTATACACATGGTGTTTCATTTGTTGTTTCAATCGTCTGACGGGGACCAGTTAACTTAAAGTTAAAGTTACATTTATTTGAACACATTTTTTTGCCAAGTCCACTGACCCAGTTGTGTCACCAAGTTTATTAAAAATTCTTTATGTTTGCATGTAGCTTCTTATCAACTACAACATAAAATTTTTTTTGTTGAACATTATCAATCCATTTTATTATTTTGACAGCTAATATATGAAGGGATGATAGTTGATATACACTCTTTGGATCAACAGTCTTTGAATAAACAAGATTGCTACACAGAGAAACAAGCGTGGTACTACCAGGGATGTGGTGGGGATCGAACTCAGAACTTCTTACTTATGAGGAAAGCGCTTTACCACTATATCACTAGCGCATTTATATTCAATAATTACCTTATTTTCAGAATTGCAGAATTTATTGCTAAGTTGCAATTTTAATTATTTACAAATTTGAAATTATAAATACATTATTTTTAGAAATATTTTGAATTGTTATTACCTTGATGCTTCAAATAAATAAAATAATTTTTATTTAAGCTATATTCGATTTTATGGATTTAAATTTTCAAAAACTGATCATGTTCTTTTAATCAAATTGATTTATCAACTTCTTATTATTCCTGATCTTGAACCACAATATGTCAAAGGATTTACAAATATTTTGTGTAAACTATTAAAGTGAGTACTTGAATATTTTTTTAAATTATTACATTCTTTTATTCAATATAGTTGTTGTTGTTCTCATCATCATCATCATCATCATCATCATCATCATCATCATCATCATCATCATCATCATCATCATCATCATCATCATCATCATCATCATCATCATCATTATCATCATCATTATTATCATCATCATCATTTACTTTTAACACTAAACATTTTTTTAGAAAAGAAAAACTACTTGCAAGAAATGACTTGGAATTAGAATGGAGACCACTTTACAAGTTAATCCAAGCTGCACGATGCAATAAATTAACACAAATCGGACTTAAGAAGTATCCTTGGTATGTTAATTTATATTCTTAGATATTTTAAACTCCATTTGTAACTGTAACTTGCACATGTAAACTATACTTAAAATTGTAAAATTTAAATATATAAATAAGTACCTAACTATAATTCATTAAGTAGGTTTTAACTATTTTATCAATTATAAGAGTAATGACAATAGCTTTTAGTTTATTAGTGCCAAAATAAAATTTTTTATATTTTGGAGTTGAAGTGAAGCTAAATAAGATCAGGCAGTTTCAAAAAATATTTTTTTTTTTAGCAAATATTTAGAATCACTTGTTCAACTGGTAAAGATAGCTAGAAGGTTTGTGCATTATTTTGTAATACATATAGATATATACATACATAATACTTATTTATACAGGCCTTGGAAATAAAAAGATTAAGGTCAACAAAAAATTGCTTGCCTAAAACAATTTTAGTCGGAACATAATTTTAAAAAAGGATTCCGCCCAAAAAAAATTAAAAAGAGTGCCGATTTAAATGCAAATGTTTTCGATTAGATAATACTACTTGATAAATATAAAATTATTCAACTGATAAAAAATAAAATTATTACACTTTAAATTATTGCATAATAATTTTTATTTTATGTAATGAGTTATATTTTATATATTAATTAATTTAATATATTATTCATTATTATTGTGGAATTTTTAATTGTTGTAATAATTCTTAAAATGTCTGCATTCTATTACAATAAGAATAAAACATAGTTTATAAGCAGTTAAGCATAAACTTTTCTTTCTCAAATTCTTTATCAATCAAGTAATGTTAATAAATAAATGGATAGCTAGTGTGAAAACTCAAAGACAAGGCTCGTCTGAAGAATTTTTTCACGGCACTATAAATTACATTTGTTATGTATATATTCTTGTAACATTATCGTTACAAACATATGCTTGTGAAAAGTATAAAACCAAATTTTGTATTTAATTAGCATTTTTTTTAATGAATAAACAGATAGCTTGTGCAAAAACCAAAAGCTCTCATAAAAAGTTGTTTAGAGGAGCAGGTCGCATGGCTTGCCAGGTTTTATTTAGGCGAGCTTTTCTCCGCTCTTTCACTCATTTACTCCCGCCAAGGCCTGCATGTATATATTATATATATATATATATATATATATATATATATATATATATATATATTTATATATATATATATGTATATGTATATGTATATGTATATGTATACATATATATACACACATAAACATATTAACGAAAAGTAATATGTTTATAATATTTTCTATAGTACTTTAAGTTTCATGCCTATATGGCAATCATAAGCCATTGAATACAAAATCAAAAACAAAAAACCCGCTAAAAATTACAAAATACTGGTAACTGGGATCTTTGCATTGGTAAAAGACATACTTGATGGCAACTAAAGAAAAAACAAAATATTAGCAAATCATCTGTGACAAAAAAAAGTTAGGAAGAATTTATTCTTGTGCCTGCATTTTGAAATCAACTCATTTTGTTTATATAACAAGTTTTCACCTTTAAATGTTAAAATAAGAAATTTTTTGTATAAGCAAAGATTGCAAATTTTTGATGAAGAGTTATAGGGATCGCAACGTTAATGGTACAGTGCACAAAGCAAATCAATTAACATTATTATCAGTTTACTGTGTGCAGCATTAAAATTAATTATCAACATCAAATTGAATAAGTTTCTGCTGGTTAGTTGCCTTGAAGAGAAACACAACCTTAGCAGATTTTTTCATACCCAACCTATTTCTCAGTTTTGAATGTACCAAGCCATAAGAGGAGAACACATGTTCAACTCCTGCAGATGAAGCTACCACAGTTATCAATTGCAAAACTGTATTAAATGTTTTACTTTCAATGTTATCACAGTGTTATCTCCACCATTGAACAGATGATAATGCTGTTAAAAACTCCAAGCTATATTCAAATTCCAGGAATGGGTACAACTTTCCTCTGAATTTCATAACTCGGTGATTACTCGGTGTAGTTAAGGCGATTTACAAGTTATTTGATTTCTTTCATTTGAAATAAGCATGATTTTATAAGCGTATTATGTCTAAACAAAAGCTTTAGATGTTGTAATTTTTTTTGCTTCAAGTTTTTTTTAATATTTGAAGAAACTTTTTTATATATACAATTTTCAAAACTTTTTACTAGCCCTAAAAGTGAATCTAAAGAACACCATTATGGAGTCTTTAGATCACTTTTACTCATCGGCGTTAACATGAATTTAGTTAAATCTTTTAAAAAAGTTACAATAGTTCCTAGTTCTAATTGGTTCTGACGAATGTTAACAATATATAGTTATCAGAATGCAATATTTCTTTCAATTTTCAAAAAAAATTCTAGAATTCCGACCAAAAAAGAGCTTATAATTAAAAAAAAGCACCAGTAAACAATCAGAACAGATCATATTGTTAAACTATGATGTTCATTTTATCTAAAAAATGTATTAATTTAAAGTCTTATTCAAATTTGGGCAAATGATAGGGATTTTAAGAAAGTTGAAAAAAAAAAAAAAATCTTCAGTCTGGTTTTTTTTGCAATGAACATTTATATTTTATAATCGCGCAAAATTTATCATTTAAATTTTTTTTTGTCTTTTCATAATTCACAAACCTGATCATTTAATGAAAATATGTGATAGCCAAGAAAATGTCATACATACACAATAATATTTTGAAATTTCCTTAACTACACAGATTATTGTAGATTGGAATATTCATTTCACATCTCTATTTTTGTGTGTGTATTTGTTTGTGTATGGGTATGTATATGTGTATATATGTATACATTTATGTGTGTATATATATACATATTTCACTACTTTGTCTTTATTTTTACACTATTTTATTTCGTTGTCATTTAGTTGTTGATTTTATTATATTTTTAATATTTATTATATTCTCTTTACATGAACATCTATAGCTTTATCGGTTAGAGCATCGGCCTGATAATCTATGAGTTTCAGGTTCAATTCTCGCTCTAAGCATCTTAGTATTTTATTATCATATTTTTTATACCTTGCATGTTGGTTATGATTTTCCATTATGAGTCTGAGTCTATAACTTTATAATTTCTATTACATGTGAGATGTCTAAATTAACATTATTATTTTTTCAATATACACTTTATTTTAGAATCTTTGTTTTGCTCTGAACATCTATTCAAAATATCTTTTTAATTTTAATTTTTATCCTTTCTCTGTTCCTAATTTTTTTCTTATTTCACTTGGACTTGACAGCTCGGTCTAGTCCTTTGATGCATATTTTTGCATTTTTTTAAATAAATAAAAACTTTAAACAACTTTAAACTTTTTTCAATATCTAGAGCACCATCTTTACATAATTATGAAATGAAATTAGAATCCTGACTTCTAACCTGTTTGACCACTGCATTATGTACAAAAAACAATGTCAACCAATTTCATATTACTTTAAATTATATTAAAAGTTTATCAAAAAAATCTGATTTAAAATCAAGCAAAAATTTAAATCAAAAAAGTTTGTTTTTTTTTAATTTTTTTTTTTTAAATCGTGATTTTTTCCAACCCTGCTTTTAAAACTGTTAACAAAAGATCTAAAAATGTTTAACTCAATTGCTTAGATCAAATTTTTTTTTTTATCAACTCGTGGCAGATAACGAAAAAGTTATTTCATCTATCACTGATTTCATTTCAATAAAATTTTTTTCAAATAAACTTAGTAAATTAAACTTTTTTATTTGCTTTTAAACGTTTTTATTTGTTAAAATTTTTGGTTTGTAAATTAAAAAAAATTTTTTTTTTTATGTTTTATGCAATTTACAAAAATTCTTTTTTTATGTTTTATGCAAATAATTTATAACATTTATTAGCACAAATAATTTATTAACTTAATTAATAATAAAATGCTTTACCAGCAAATTTAGTTTACTAACAGTATTCTAAATTACCTTAATCTGTTTTTAAAGTAATTCCAAAATGACATTTACCTCCAAAAAAATCATTTTTTGAATAATTACTATGCTAAGATCTTTTTTATTTTCCTAACTAAAGATAAACAGCATTTGTTGGTTTAAAATTTTTGTAATTGTAAATAAAAAGTCTAAAATAAAAACACGAGTAAAAAAACTATGTACCAAGCGAAATGAAAAAACTAAAGAACAACTGGCGTCAATTAAAAAAATAAAGTTTTTATTTTTGAATGAATGACTTGCTACGCTTTTTCTCTTGTAAAGAAAGCAATTGTTTTCAATCAACTAAATCAATTTCTTCCTTTTGTGTACTAAGTATTTCTACGTGTCTTGCCTAACACTTAAAATTTAAGTAAATTAGATTTTAAGTGTTAAAAAAAACAACCTTTAACCCTATTAATAACAGGGTTAAAGGTTGTTGTTTTTTTAATGATTTTTGAACTTTTGGGAAATTAACGAGTATTATATAATCAATTAACGAGTAAGTTGTATGATTGAAGATAATATTTCCAGCATGCAGGAAAGCATGATTCAGTGTATTGTCAGGAAGATGGCAAGATTTTGGTCATTAGATTTAAGATATGAATTATGTTAAAAATGATAAAAAAGGTATGTTTTCCAGAGAGTTTTTGTGGAATAAATAACATTGAAAAGAAAGATGATTAAGTAAAGAACTGCAATGGAATATCATATCTGTTTGTAATGCATATCTGATTGCACTACAATTTAGTGAATTGATACAAAAGTACATGCCAAATCTAAGCACGTTACTAGGGAGTTTTAAGTGTATCAAAGAGCATATTTAACACTTTTTATACTTTGATATTTTACAGCTGTTAGAATCAGCATTATTAGAAGCAACCACAGAGCTTGGGAAACCTTACAACCAGCTTGCCTCAGTACCATTAAACTCAGGGTGGCCAGCAACCTGGAAAACCTGGAAAAGTCAGGGAAATTCTAAACTATGCTAAAAAGTCAGGGAAAAGTCAGGGAATATGTTAAATTTTCCAAAAGTCATGGAAAAATCAGGGAATTTTGGTGGATTCAGTAACAAAATATTTATATTTTATTGCGTATTAGAAACTAAAAATCTTTTATATGCTATATAATTATTTTGTATAACTTTATTATTCTTCTTTTTCACATTTTGGTTCTTACTTTTCAAAAATATTTTGTCAATATTATGTAAAGATCAAACAGGAAAGCAATTTGTTGCAGTGCCTTTTTTCACTTATTTCAAAAGGGCTAAATGTCTAAATGTGTGAAAGGGAACAAAATTTTTATTTTGTCATATTGTGTTATTAGTTAGTTCTAATCTATCACTGTAGTATTTTTTGTTATAGCAAATAGTCATATT